CCAGCATTCACATCATGCCAGATACACCTGGCATTTTACTGGCCCAGCAGAACAAAGTGAACTACAGTGAGGTAGGTGTTTGAGCAGGGGTTAAGTGTCCATCGCTGGACACTGCTGTGGCCTATGAAGAAATGTTGTTTGAGGGCAATGGTTGTTTTCCTTTCAGAAAATGTACAGACTTGCGATGGAGGAGGATAAGAAGAAGGGCTACGACATGCGTGCAGATGCCATTCCTATCAAGTCTGCTAAAGCCTCCAGGGACATTGCAAGTGATGTAAGTACACAGGAGATTTGGTGACACACTCTATCAGAGAGTTTCCCAGTACTTGCAGTTGAAGACCAGCGTTTGTAACCTTGGCCAAATGGAGGCAATGCAGCTCTGTAATAACCTGTTATACCCATTCATCCAGTCCAGAAACGTGTGTATTCTGGAGAGTCTGCTTGTAGCTGTCCATGCATGTTATCGAAGTGTAATGTTGTGAGGAAATTTGTAGATGATGGGGAGAGAGTAACTGCAGGAGCTGGGTGATGAGGATAATCCAAATACTGTTCCCCCAGGCTTGTGGCAGCATCTCCTCCTGCAACAGACTCTACTTTTGAGGTGGTTTGCTGCTCTCCATACTGCCGATCTGTATGCCTCTGATACTGCTGCTACACAGCTGAGCTGGACATTAGGAAAAAGAACCCAAACTGAGTCTTGTATTAACAACTGGGGCATTCATTGTTTCTGTCTGGACTGGGGGCAGGTCCAGTCACTACTGGAGACCAGTTATTACTGTACCCCAAAGTGTATTTTTAGGGCTCAGCTTTGCAGGAGCTGAATTTACTCTCTCATGCAAGTCTCTGTCCTTCACATTTTTTCCCTTACTGTGAGGAGATGAGTTTATTTTGTCCTCAGTCTTCCTTGACATTGCAGTAAGAGGTGAGGGAAAAAATGTTGTGCTGCTACTTGTCAATTCCCAGGCTTGGTGCCTGTAGGCCTGTGGCTGAGAACACACACAGGACAGGGAGAATAAGAGTCCTGAGCACTGTGCAGGAAAGCCTGGTGCAGTGGAGTGTGTCAGCTGCCATAGCTGTGTGGGTGAGTGTAGACAGGGCTGTGCAGGATGGGGCCCAGGTTGTCTGATGGAGCAGTCTGGTGGTTCTCCCTGAGATTTACATCCCAACAGCTGAGCTTTTCTCTCAGTAGGGAGGCTTAAGTTGTGTGGAGACCCTGTGTGTTGGCATGCATCATTCCTGGTTCCCAAGCTCATTTGGAGTTGCAGTTTGGGCCTCCATGTGCCTCCTGTGGCCCAACGTAGATGTGCGGTGGGATGGTAGTGCAGGACAGAGTGGGGATATGCTGTGCTTAGAAGAGTCTTCACGTGGGGATCTTGCCAGGCTCTGTCAGCAAAGCGCTTGTTCAAAAGCAATGCATCAGAACAGTGTCAGAAGGGAGGAGAGCTGACCTGAAACTCACTGAGCTTCTCTAACCCTGCAGTACAGGTACAAAGAAGGCTATCGCAAGCAGCTTGGCCACCACATTGGGGCCCGGAACATAGAGGATGATCCAAAGATGACGTGGTCGATGCACGTGGCCAAGATCCAGAGTGACAGGGAGTACAAGAAAGCCTTTGAGAAGTCCAAGACGCACTTCAGTAGCCCAGTGGACATGCTGGGAATCGTGCTGGCCAAGAAATGTCAGGAGCTGGTCAGTGATGCTGATTACAGGCACCCCCTGCATCGGTGGACCTGTCTGCCAGACCAGAACGATGTTGTACAAGCCAGGAAAGTGTACGACCTTCAGAGTGATGTGAGTTGTTGTTTGCTGTCTGTGTGAAAAGCAGAAGTGTCTCTTGTGTTGTGTTCCTTTGCTGGAGGAGGTTCAGATGGGGAGTATAAGTCTTGGCTGTTTCTGTGAAGACTGTTGTGGCCATATGATCTTGCTGAATCATTGAACAGTTTGTGTTGGAAGAGATCTTAAAGATGATCTGGTTCCAGCTCCCCTGTCATGGGCAGAACACCTCCCACCAGCCCAGACTGCTCAGAGTCCCATCCAACCTGGCCTTAGACACTTCCAGGGATGGGGCAGCCACCACTTCTCTGGCAACCTGTGCCAGTGCCTCACCACCCTCATAGTGGAGAATTTCTACCATATAACCAATCCAAATCTACCGTCTTTCAGTTTGAAACAATTACCCCAGTGTTTCTATCAAAGGGAAATTTTGAGTTTCAACCTTTCTCATCAAGAGCTTTTAAATTTCTCAATTACTGCTCCTGAGATATCTCAGCAGTCCAGCCTTCTTTTTGCTGAGATTTCGCAAGAAAATACAGGTCAGAAGTCTGTGTGGGGCCATCCTTTGTGGTCACAGAAGAGTCCTGTGTTGCCTTGACTGTTTTAAGGGGAGGGTTGTTGCAGGTGGCTGGAGTTTCTGTATGGCAGGGGAAGGGCAATGGAGTCAAATATTTTCTTTAGAAAGATGAAAAGTTAACAAAGGCAAGACATGTGTGCAGTGGCAAATGACATGAAGAGCGTTAGGTGGTGAGGTATAAGGCTACTCCCATGCCTCTGCCAGATGGACATTGACAAATGGGGCAGGTCTTTCCCCAGCAGAATGAGAATGTGGTGGAGGAAAGCTTCCATGATTTCCTGTCACCTGCTTGCGCTGTCATTGGCCTGGGGAGCCAGGTTATGGATAACTAGGCTCAATGGGAGTCCCTTAGTGGTGGCTGGTGGGTTGCTCAGGCAAAGGTGTTTTGGTAGGCAGAGCTTCCCTAGGTAGGAGCAGTGGTTGCATGGAGTCAGGAGGTTGCTGAGGTGCTTTGTGTCCTTGCCTGTCCTTTCAGAACGTGTACAAGTCGGACCTCCTGTGGCTGAGGGGCATTGGCTGGTCCCCAAGTGGTTCCCTGGACGATGAGAAGAACAAGAGGGCCAGCCTCATCCTGAGTGACAAGAAGTATCGGCAGCACCCAGACACCATCAAATTCACCAGCCTTCCTGACTCCATGCCTATGGTTCTGGCAAAGCACAACTCTGAAATCATGAACCAGGTGAGATGTCCCTGTGTGTGCAATGTGAAGGAAACAAGTGTGTTTCTTAGGAGTGTGGGCTCTTTCCTTCCAGGGCCTGGGTTTTCCAAAGAGAGTATTGCATCCTTTTGCATCAGGGATTTGTTCTTGTTGTGTCTCCAATTCTATTTTGTGTTGGTGGAGCAGTGATTGGGTGCAGTGTGGGGAAACGAAGGCTGAAATGTTGTAAAGTTTTGGGACAAGAGAAGTCGTTCCTGAGTCAGTGCAATGTGGAGCCTCCTTGCTTCATTTTGTTGAGCTAGTTTGCTGTTTGAGTTTGTTGCCCTGTGCTTGCATGATCTTATTTCACACTGTTCTGTTTTTTTCAGCGCTCATACATAGCAGCCTGGGAGAAAGATAAAACCAACATTCACATCATGCCAGATACACCTGGTATTTTGCTGGCCCAGCAGAACAAAGTGAACTACAGTGAGGTAGGTGTTTGAGCTGGGGTTAAGTGTCCATCGCTGGACACTGCTGTGGCCTATGAAGAAATGTTGTTTGAGGGGCATGGTTGTTTTCCTTTCAGAAAATGTACAGACTTGCGATGGAGGAAGATAAGAAGAAGGGCTACGACATGCGTGCAGATGCCATTCCTATCAAGTCTGCTAAAGCTTCCAGGGACATTGCAAGTGATGTAAGTACATGAATGATTTGAGCATGCTCTCCTCAGTATTGATGTTTTAGTGAGAGCTAAGGGGAAAAGTGTCATGTTGACCCTTTTCATTTCCCAAGCTTAATGGCTGTAGGCTCCTAGCTGAGGGGACACAGGGCGTTGGAAGAATAAGAGTCCTGAGCACTCTGCACGAGAGCCTGGTGCAGTGGAGTATTTCAGCTGCTGTGGGATGTGCGCAATGAGGCCCAGGTTGGCTGCTGGAGCAGTCTGGTGATTCTCCCTAAGTTTTGGATCCCAGCTGCTGAGCTTCTATCTCTGTGAGGATGCTTTGGTTGTGTGGAGACCCTGTTCGGGCATGCATTGCTCCTGGTTCCCAAGCTCGCTTTATTGGATTTGCCATCTGGGCCTACATGTGCCTCCTGTGGCCCAATGTAGGTGTGGGGTGGGATTGAAGTGTAGGACAGAGTGGGGATATGCTGCACTTAGAAGAGTCTTCACACAGAGATCTGGCCAGGCTCCGTTAAGAAAGCACTTGTTCAAAGATGCTGCAACAGAACAGTGTCAGAAGGGAGAAGAGCTGGCCTGAAACTCACTGAGCTTCTCTATACCCTGCAGTACAGGTACAAAGAAGGCTATCGCAAGCAGCTTGGCCACCACATCGGGGCCCGAAACATAGAGGATGATCCAAAGATGATGTGGTCGATGCACGTGGCCAAGATCCAGAGTGACAGGGAGTACAAGAAAGCCTTTGAGAAGTCCAAGACGCACTTCAGTAGCCCAGTGGACATGCTGGAAATTGTGTTGGCTAAGAAGTGTCAGGAGCTGGTCAGTGATGTTGATTACAAGCACCCCCTGCATCGGTGGACCTGTCTGCCAGACCAGAACGATGTTGTACAAGCCAGGAAAGTGTACGACCTTCAGAGTGATGTGAGTTGTTGTTTGCTGTCTGTGTGAAAAGCAGAAGTGTCTCTTGTGTTGTGTTCCTTTGTTGGAGAAGGTCCTGGTGGGGAGTATAAGTATCCGTGAGACACTTTTGTTGCCGTATGATCTTGGTGAGAGTTGGTGTTGTAAATGGTCAGGGCAGAAGTTTGTGTGGTGTCGTATTTAATGTGACAGAAGAGTCCTTTGTTGCCTTGACCATTTTGAGGGGAGGGTTACTGCGGGTGTCTGGAGTTCTGTTTGTCAGAGGAAGGGCAATGGAGTCAAATATTTTCTGCAGTGGCAAATGGCAAGAAGAGCATTAGGTGATAAGGTATAATGCTACCCCCATGTGTTTGCCAGCTGGAGGTAGCGAAGTAGAGCAGGTCTTTCCCTGGGAGATTACAAAGTTGGAGGGGAGAGGGTTTGTACATTTCTTGTCACCTGCTTGTGATGCTGTAGACATGGGGAGCCAGAGTGCAGCAGTTGGGCTTAGTGGGAGTCCCTTTGTGGTGGCTGCTGCTCAGGGGAATGTGTTAGAGTAGGCAGAGCTTCCCTAGGTAGGAGCAGTGGTTGCATGGAGTCAGGAGGTTGCTGAGGTGCTTTGTGTCCTTGCCTGTCCTTTCAGAACGTGTACAAGTCGGACCTCCTGTGGCTGAGGGGCATTGGCTGGTCCCCAAGTGGTTCCCTGGACGATGAGAAGAACAAGAGGGGGACGAGAAGAAAAAAAAGAGGCCCAGCCTCATCCTGAGTGACAAGAAGTATCGGCAGCACCCAGACACCATCAAATTCACCAGCCTTCCTGACTCCATGCCTATGGTTCTGGCAAAGCACAACTCTGAAATCATGAACCAGGTGAGATGTCGCTGTGTGTGCAATGTGAAGGAAACGAGTGTGTTTCTTAGGAGTGTGGGCTCTTTCCTTCCAGGGCCTGGGTTTTGCAAAAGGCAGTATTGCATCAGGGATTTGTGTTTCTTGTTGTGTCTCCAGTTCTATTTTGTGTTGGTGGAGCAGTGATTGGGTGCAGTGTGGAGAAAAGAAGGCTGAAATGTTGTAAAGTTTTGGGACAAGAGAAGTCGTTCCTGAGTCAGTGCAATGTGGAGGCCCCTTGCTTCATTTTGTTGAGCTAGTTTGCTGTTTGAGTTTGTTGCCCTATGTTTGCATGATCTTATTTCACACTGTATTTCTTTTTTTCAGCGCTCATACATAGCAGCCTGGGAGAAAGATAAAACCAGCATTCACATCATGCCAGATACACCTGGTATTTTGCTGGCCCAGCAGAACAAAGTGAACTACAGTGAGGTAGGTGTTTGAGCTGGGGTTAAGTGTCCATCGCTGGACACTGCTGTGGCCTGTGAAGAAATGTTGTTTGAGGGGCATGGTTGTTTTCCTTTCAGAAAATGTACAGACTTGCGATGGAGGAGGATAAGAAGAAGGGCTACGACATGCGTGCAGATGCCATTCCTATCAAGTCTGCTAAAGCTTCCAGGGACATTGCAAGTGATGTAAGTACACAGGAACCCTTGTCTGCAAGCTCTCTTCAGTCTTACTTCACATTTAAGATAGAGGTTCTGCAAATCTTTTAACATCATAGAACGGTTTGGGTTGGAAGGGACCTTTAAAGATCATCTGATTCCATTCCTCCTCCCGTGAGCAGGTACACCTTCCACTAGACCAGGTGTCTCAAAGCCCTGTCTCACCTGGTGTTGAGCACTTCCATGGATGTTGCATCCACAGCTTCTCTGGGCAACTTGTTCCGATGTCTCACCACCCTCACAGTGAAGTTTTTCTTCCTAATCTCTAATCCAAATCTAATCTCTTCCTGTTTAAAATTGTTACCCTTCATCCTACCACTTTACTTCTGGGTAAAGAGTCTCTCTCCATCTTTCTTGTAGGCCCCCTTTAAGTACTGGAAGGCTGCTATGAAGTCTCCCTGGAGCCTTCTCTTCTCCAGGCTAAACACACCAAATTCTCTCAACCTGGCCTCACAAGGGACGTGCTGCAGCCCCTGATCATCTCAGTGGCCCTCCTCTGGAGGCCTCAGAGCTGAACTCAGTGCTCCAGGTGGGGTCTCACGAGAGCAAAGCAGAGAGGGAGAACCTCCTTCCTCGCCCTGCTGGCCATACTTCTTTAGATGCAGCCCAGGATACAATTGGCTTTCTGGTCTGCAAGTGCAGACTGCCAGCTCATAATCAGTTTTTCAACCAGCAATACTCCCAAGTCCTTCTCTCTAGGGCTGCTCTGAATCCACTCATTGCCCAGCCTGTATCCATGTTTGGGATTGCCTTGACCCAGGTGCAGGGCCTTGCACAAGTCCAGGTAGATGATCTCAGTCACTCTTCCTTTATCCACTAATGCTGTAGCCCCGTCATAGGAAGCCACCAAATTTGTCAGGCACAGTTTGCCCTTAGTGAAGTGATGTTGGCCATCGCCAATCACCTCCTTATTTTCCATGTGCATTAGAATAGTTTCCAGGAAGATCTACTCCATGTTCTTGCTGGGCATAGAGATGAGACTGACTGGCCTGTAGTTCCTCGGGTCTTCCTTTGTTTCTCTTTTTGGAAGTGGGAAACCGTATTTCTCCTTTTCCTCTCTGTTGGAACTTTCCCAGAGTGCCACGACTTTTCAAATGTGATGAATAGTGGCTTAGCAGCTTCATCTGCCAGTTCCCTCAGAACCCTCAGATGCATCTCATCAGGTCCCATGAATCTGTGCACATTCAGGTTCCTTAGATGGTCTTGAACCTGATCTTCTCCTATGATGGGCAGTACTTCATGATCCCAGTCTCTGGCTTTGGGTTCAGTCAGTTGGGTGGTGTGGCTAGAGAACTTGCAGAGAAGACTGAGGCAAACAAGTTGCTGAGTAACTCAGCCTTCTCCACATCAGTTGTAGCCAGGTCTCCTATTTCCCTCATCAAGGAGGGGAGGGGTTAGGTTATTTCATCTTCCTTTGTTATCCTGTGTGCCTGAAGAAATGTTCTTGTTATTTTTTACATGCCTAGACAAGTTCAGTTCCAACTGTGCCTTGGCTTTCCTGATCTCCTCCCTGCACTCCTGGGCCATAGTGTTGTAATCTCCCCCAGATGTGTATCCCTGCCTCTACTACCTATGCATTTTGGTTTTGTGTTTTAGTTTAATGAAGAGGTCTTGACTTAGCCAAGCAGCCTTCTGCCTCCCCTGCCTGACTTCATGCATTGGTGAGAGCACTTGCACTCTAAGATAAAGATCTTTAAATACCTCCCAGCTTTCATTCACTCCCTTATCTCTGAGGGCAGTTCCCCAAGGCATCCCACTCACTAGCGCTCTAAGATGAAAGTTTGCTTTTCTGAGTTTTACAGTCCTGACTCTATTTTTTACCAGTCTTGTACCCCTCTAGATTGAGAATTCTACCAGACCATGATTGCTGCAGCCCAGGCTCCATTCAGTTTTGACCTCTTCAATAAGTTCTTCATCGTTAGGAGAGGCACTACTGGACCCGTGGCTCTGGTCAGACTCTTCATCACCTGTACTGGGAAATTGTCCTCCATGCACTCCAGTAGTTTTCTGGACTTGTCACAGTTCTCTGTGCTGCTTTTCCAGCAGATGTCCGGGTGTTTAAAGTCCCCCATCAGGATCAAGGCCTGCAAGTGTGATGCTTCCTAGAGTTGAAGGAAGAACTCATCCTCAACCTCCTCTTGTTGATCAGGTGGCCCATAGTAGACAGCAATCACAAAGTGTCCTTTGATCAGTTGGTGTCTTAATATTCACCCATCAGCTCTTGACATTGCTGAAAACATGTTGTATTGCCCCTTGTCATTTCTCAGGCTTAGTGCCTGTAGTCCTGCAGCTGAGACGACACACAGGGCAAGGAGAATAAGAATCATGAGCACTCTGCAGGATATCCTGGTGCAGTGGAGTGTGTCAGCTGCTGTGGGCTGTGCAAGATGCTGCCTCATGGAGCCGACTGGTGGTTCAGCCCCGAATTTTGTATCCTAGCTGCTGACCTTTTGTCTCAGTGGGGATTGCATTGCTCCTGGTTCCCAAGCTTACTTCGTTGGATTTGCCGTCTTGGCCTCCATGTGCCTCCTGTGGCCCAACATACGCATGGGGTGAGATGGAAGTGTAGGACAGAGTGGGGATATGCTGTGTTCAGAAGACTTTTCACCTGGTCAGAGACTTTCATCTGGCCAGGCTCCATTAACAAAGCGCTTGTTCAAAAGCAGTGCAACAGAACAGTGTCAGAAGGGAGAAGAGCTGGCCTGAAACTCACTGAGCTTCTCTAACCCTGCAGTACAGGTACAAAGAAGGCTATCGCAAGCAGCTTGGCCACCACATCGGGGCCCGGAACATAGAGGATGATCCAAAGATGATGTGGTCGATGCACGTGGCCAAGATCCAGAGTGACAGGGAGTACAAGAAAGCCTTTGAGAAGTCCAAGACGCACTTCAGTAGCCCAGTGGACATGCTGGAAATCGTGTTGGCTAAGAAGTGTCAGGAGCTGGTCAGTGATGTTGATTACAAGCACCCCCTGCATCGGTGGACCTGTCTGCCAGACCAGAACGATGTTGTACAAGCCAGGAAAGTGTACGACCTTCAGAGTGATGTGAGTTGTTGTTTGCTGTCTGTGTGAAAAGCAGAAGTGTCTCTTGTGTTGTGTTCCTTTGTTGGAGAAGTCCCAGTGGGGAGCATAACACTAGGCTGTTTCTGTGAGACCAGGACCATGCTCTGGCTGTATGGTCTTGGTGAGGTTTGATGATGTGAATGTTCAGGGCAGAAGTTTGTGTGGTGTCATACTTGAGTGTGACAGAGAAGAGTCCTGTGTTTCCAAGAGTGTTTTGAGGGGAGTGTTGCTGTGGGTGTCTGGAGTTCTGTTTGTTGGGGAAAGGGCAGTGGAGTCAGATATTTTCTGCAGTAGCAAATGGCATGAAGAGCCATGACGGTGGTGAGGTATAAGGCAGCTCCCATATGTTTGCCAGTTTGAGATGGCCAAATGGAGCTGGTCTTTCCCTGGGAAATGAGAAAGTTAGAGGGAGAGTGTCTCTGGATTTCTTGTCACCTGCTTTTGCTGTTGTAGGCATGGGGAGCCAGGATTTGTGCAAGGTGGGCTTAATTGAAGTCCCTTAGTGGTGGCTGATATGCTCAGGCAAAGGTGTTTTGGTAGGCAGAGCTTCCCTAGGTAGGAGCAGTGGTTGCATGGAGTCAGGAGGTTGCTGAGGTGCTTTGTGTCCTTGCCTGTCCTTTCAGAACGTGTACAAGTCGGACCTCCTGTGGCGGAGGGGCATTGGCTGGTCCCCAAGTGGTTCCCTGGACGATGAGAAGAACAGGAGGGCCAGCCTCATCCTGAGTGACAAGAAGTATCGGCAGCACCCAGACACCATCAAATTCACCAGCCTTCCTGACTCCATGCCTATGGTTCTGGCAAAGCACAACTCTGAAATCATGAACCAGGTGAGATGTCCCTGTGTGTGCAATGTGTAGTAAACAAGTGTGTTTCTTAGGAGTGTGGGCTCTTTCCTTCCAGGGCCTGGGTTTTCCAAAGAGAGTATTGCATCCTTTTGCATCAGGGATTTGTGTTTCTTGTTTTGTCTCCAGTACTGTTTTGTGTTGGTGGAGCAGTGATTGGGTGCAGTGTGGGGAAACGAAGGCTGAAATGTTGTAAAGTTTTGGGACAAGAGAAGTTGTTCCTGAGTCAGTGCAAAATAGAGGCCCCTTGCTTCATTTTGTTGAGCTAGTTTGCTGTTTGAGTTTGTTGCCCTGTGCTTGCATGATCTTATTTCACACTGTATTTGATTTTTTCAGCGTTCATACATAGCAGCCTGGGAGAAAGATAAAACCAACATTCATATCATGCCAGATACACCTGGTATTTTGCTGGCCCAGCAGAACAAAGTGAACTACAGTGAGGTAGGTGTTTGAGCAGGGGTTAAGTGTCCATCGCTGGACACTGCTGTGGCCTATGAAGAAATGTTGTTTGAGGGGCATGGTTGTTTTCCTTTCAGAAAATGTACAGACTTGCGATGGAGGAAGATAAGAAGAAGGGCTACGACATGCGTGCAGATGCCATTCCTATCAAGTCTGCTAAAGCCTCCAGGGACATTGCAAGTGATGTAAGTACACAGGGCCCCTTGGCAGCACACCCTTTCAGACAGTTTTGCAGTGCTTGCAGTTGAAGCCCTGGGTGTGAAACCTTATCCAAATGGAGGTGACACAGCACTTTCCTGTCATTACCATTGAGCTAGTCCATAACTGTGTGTGTTCTGGAGGGTCTGAGTAGGAGATCTTAACACATAAGCCAAGGAGTGTCTTTGAAATTGTGAAGGTCACATCAGACTGATAATGTTACATAAATCCTGTTGTAGCTGTACACTGCAGTTCATCTGCTGAATACTTTTTCACTATAATGTCTCTGTGGTTTCAGATACTAAGGTGTCTGGAGGTTGTGCCACAAGGGCTGCTTGGGGCATAAAGAAATCTCAACTAAAACTCACTGAACATTTTTTTGCCTATAGTACAGGTACAAAGAAGGCTATCGGAAGCAGCTTGGCCACCACATTGGGGCCAGAAACATAGAGGATGATCCAAAGATGATGTGGTCGATGCACGTGGCCAAGATCCAGAGTGACAGGGAGTACAAGAAAGCCTTTGAGAAGACCAAGACGCACTTCAGTAGCCCAGTGGACATGCTGGGAATCGTGCTGGCCAAGAAGTGTCAAGGGTTGGTCAGTGACGTTGATTACAAGCACTTTCTGCATGAATGGACTTGCCTGCCAGACCAGAATGATGTTATCCATGCTAAGAAGGCCTATGACCTGCAGAGTGATGTGAGTACTTGCTGCTAAATGTTGGAGTTCCCAAGTGTATGTAATTTCCTTGGAATGTAAACTATAGGAGCTGCTTGAACTCTTTATCTCGTGTTTTTTCTCTTTGTGTTCTTTTTTACCTTTTCCAAGCAAGTTCACAAGATTTTTAGGAGGGAATGAGTCTGTGTGTAAGGAATGTAGAGTAGTGTGAAAGGTTATAAACGGCTGATCAGTTAGTGAAACAATAGAATTAAGCTGTGTATAGTCCATTATAATAACCAATCTTAAGACCTTTTCTATATGCAGTTTAGCTGCACGTAAAGAGGAAATTGCCTAGTAAGACTTTTTTTCACTTGATGACGTTAGTAGAGAGAATGCCTTTATTCTGTCTTGGAGAGAATAGTTTAAATTAAGACCTGCTGTTCTTAGTGAGTAACCATGTATTTGTTTGGAATAAATGTTACAGGAAATATTATTTAAAAAATTATACTGACTTTCAAGGTTTTGTTTAAATCCTGTTCCTCTTTGACCTTTCCCCAACAAGTTTGGTGAATGATACCTCTTGAAGACACACATGGGATCTGAATCTGGGTTGCTAACAGAGATTGTTTTGCAGGTTGAACTAGGAGGAAGGCAATTTATGGAAAGTAAGCATTAGTTGCATGGCATGTACGAAATGTTTAACTGGCAATATTGAGAGTGGTGTCTTTGTATTTTGAAATAGAACTGCTACAAGTCTGACCTTGAATGGTTGCGGGGCATTGGTTGGGTCCCAATTGGTTCCTTGGAGGTTGAAAAAGCCAAGAAGGCAGGGGAGATCTTGAGTGATAAAATATACCGTCAGCCTCCAGACACTATCAAGTTTACCAGTGTGACAGATTCTCTAGAGATGGTCTTGGCCAAGCACAATGCAGAGACGATGAATAAGGTGAGTCTTGATTTGATCAGGTAACGCATCAGTCATCTCAACCTAAATCCTGGAGACAGGACTAGAAATGCAGATGGGTGATTGCTGTGTGAGATTTCAGCACGGCAAAGCTTTAAAAGTGTAAGTTACATCCCTGGTAATCAATCGGGAACTTATTTTCAGCAAGTGTTAATTTCATAATATCTTCCAAGCTACCAAGTTAAATTGGAATTGTCAGTTGTGAAGCTTTCCACATGACTCTGCTGTGTTTCTAATAATGCATTACGTAGCTTTCATCTAATTTTAATATAGCAGTTTAATAAATCTAATAAGTTATCAAGTTTATCTAGTAATAAATAAACTACCTGTTTTAGGGCAGTCTTTTATCTTAAACAATTCAGTGTAGCACTTAAAATGTAAGAGTTTTTCTGAATCTGTGGCCCTGATCTCAATCCTATTCGTGTCAATACATCCATTTCCTCTTTCAAGCAGGCCTTGTTCTGAGGGTTTAGATCTCTGTGTGTCTGATTTACGTTCTGTGCCTTCTTTCTAAACATTTTTTTAACAGAATTCTTTCTAGGTTACTAATTCTAAAGCTGGACATAAGTGTCTAGAGTATATGAGTATAAAAGAGAGTATGAGTGTAAGATCTCGTTGCTATGTAAGGAATAAAGATTTTTTAGACTTGCAGTACAGATCTGTAATTCCTCTTGTGTTTTAGGAGATGTCCAAGTAGTCGCTGTTTTTTCGCCCTTTAATGTACCTTATTTCTCCTGCAGCGTCTGTACACTGAGGCCTGGGATAAAGACAAGACACAAATCCACATAATGCCTGACACACCTGAAATCACGCTGTCGAGACAGAACATGCAGAACTACAGCATGGTGAGTGTGTAAGCTCTCTAATGGAATTTTTTGTTTCCTGGCTGGATCGTCTGTATTCTGATAGACCTTACATGAATGATACCATCAGTTTCTTTAAGTAACCCCCAATATTTATCCTCAAAATTATGATTTCCAACATTGGAAATACCATAAATATGTGACCAGCAGGTCCAGGGAGGTGATCATCTCCCTGTACCTGGCACTGGTGAGGCCGCACCTCGAGTGCTGTGTTCAGTTCTGGGCCCCTCACTCTAAGAAGGATGTTGAGATTCTGGAGCGTGTTCAGAGAAGAGCCACAAGGATGGGGAGGGCTCTGGAGAACAAGCCTGATGAGGAGCGGCTGAGGGAACTGGGCTTGTTTAGCCTGGAGAAGAGAAGGCTGAGGGGAGATCTCATCGCCACCTCCAACTGCCTCAAGGGAGCTTGGAGAGAGGTGGGTGCTGGTCTCTTCTCCCAGGTGATGGGGGATAGAACAAGGGGAAACGGCACCAAGCTGTGTCAAGGGAGGTTCAGGTCAGAGATCAGGAGGAAGTTCTTTCCTGAGAGGGTCGTCAGAAGCTGGAACAGGCTGCCCAGGGAGGTGGTGGAGTCACCATCCCTGGATGTGTTTAAAGAGCGGGTAGATGAGGTACTTAAGGATGTGGTTTAGGGGGTAGACAGGAGCGGTTGGACGTGGTGATCTCAGAGGGCTTTTCCAACCGAGCCATTCTGTGATTCTGTGATAAAGGTAATTTGCAGCACAGTTCTGTGGTGATCCCAGTGTTCAATGCTGGTTTAGGCAAATAAATTCACATCAGTAAGAGGTGGCTTTAAAAAGTCATTTTCACTCCAGTTGTACAGAAGAATAGTTTATGTCAAAAATTATAGACATGTTTTTTAAAGTATTGAAAGAAAGAAATCGTTAGCTGATGTATTTTGCAAAGATGTGAATTTGTATCAGCTTCTGATCCTGGGCTTTGAGTTAAATTTATATAAAGTCAGGTTAAAATAAATCTTAACACATTTTTTAAAAATATCTTCTACTTACAAGCACTTTGTTTTGTATAGTGTGTAGTGTAAGGAACTTACCTGTATCCCGTTGTTTAATTCTTCCCTAGAAACTCTACAAACAGGCCATGGAAGAAGACAAAAAGAAAGGCTACGATTTGAGAGGTGATGCTATCCCCATTCAAGCTGCCAAGGCGTCCAGGCAAATTGCCAGTGATGTAAGAGACTGCTTTTGTGTTTCTGTGTGTGGTGACATCTGATCTCTGCAACCTGAAAGTTGTCAGCTGTATTCTGCAACAGGCATTGCAATTAAACTGCCGTCTCCAATAATAGGGTTTTGGAAGCAAGTTATTATATATGTTTAAAGACTTAATTGTAAAAAATTAAATGGTGAGAAGTTATAATGACAATATAATGCTATCATGTTAATTTTATAGCTCATAAACCTGTATCTTTAACTAAATCTTAACAGTATGTGTATTATTGTATTTAATAAGGAGAAGATTATTTCTCAGTAATATTAGTAAAGATTGTTTCTTCAAAAGAACTTACTTAAAAATCTCTAGGGTACTAACTCAAATATCAGAAATCTAGTGTGGGAGTCTGCGTTATTAGCCCCAGAATGGCTTTGACAGTTTCATTTACTCATCTCATTTAAACTGTACTTTACCTTGAGAGGTTGGACTGGATGATCCTTGTGGTCCCTTCCAACCTGGTATTCTGTGATTCTGTGACTAAGTTATGGATAAATTTGGAGAGTTTATTATTAGAAATATTTAATATGAGTAACTGATACTTAAAGGTGATGTAGACATAGAATATCTTCATTTATATTTCAGTACAAGTACAAAGAAGGCTATCGCAAGCAGCTTGGCCACCACATCGGGGCCAGGAACATAGAGGATGATCCAAAGATGATGTGGTCGATGCATGTGGCCAAGATCCAGAGTGACAGGGAGTACAAGAAAGCCTTTGAGAAGACCAAGACGCACTTCAGTAGCCCAGTGGACATGCTGGGAATCGTGCTGGCCAAGAAATGTCAAGGGTTGGTCAGTGACGTTGATTACCGCCATTATCTGCACCAGTGGATCTGTCTGCCGGACCAGAACGATGTTATCCATGCTAAGAAGGCCTATGACCTACAGAGTGATGTAAGATCTTTTTTGTTTAATTTTTGGTGAGGAATGCGTTTGATATTTTACATAGGTGAACCAGGCCATCTCATACCAGTGCTGACAGAACCGAATTTTCAAGACTTATTTTTAAGTTTTATGGCTAGTTTAAACTCAGAACTCCAATAATATATGTTAACTAATTGATTTTTAAGTTCAATACTGTAATTCCAGAATTTGGGCTATTTATCATTTGCCATTCTGTGAAACTCGGATAGCGGTTTCACTCTTCATGTAGATGAAATGCACTTATTTTTTCTAACATTTTCTTTAGGGTATTGAATTTATTGGAATTAGAAGTTGATAGTGAGGTTACTTAACTGTGAAAAGTTGCACCATGTAAACTGCGTTACAAGTATTAGAATAACCTGTGTATTTTTTTGCATTAGAATTACTACAAGTCTGACCTTGAATGGTTACGAGGCGTTGGTTGGGTCCCAATTGGTTCCTTGGAAGTCGAAAAAGCCAAGAAGGCAGGGGAGATCTTGAGTGATAAAATATACCGTCAGCCTCCGGACACTATCAAGTTTACCAGCGTGACAGATTCTCTAGAGATGGTCTTGGCCAAGCACAATGCAGAGACAATGAATAAGGTGAGTCTTGATTAGGTAACACATCAGTCATCTCAACCTAAATCCTGGAGACAGGACTAGAAAGGTAAAGTTCACAAGTAATGCTGAAGTTCAGAGAGGATCTGTTTTCAAACAGTGCGCTCTGTTTATTGCAATCAAAACTATTAGGCCATGTAATGGAAGACTCAACTTTATATTCTGCATAGTAAATTTTAATCTTTTCTTTGACGTGTCTGTGCAGTGAGCAATAATAATTCTTTGGTTTACTAATTGTTCTTAAGTATTGTGGCAGTTTTCTAAGTGTTGTTAAGTTTTCTCTAATAAATTCTCCTTTTAATTTTGCTATCTCTACCTGATTAAATATATAACCATTTACCATGGTATATTTCCTATCATTTTACTTAGTATGCGCTATGCTTTACCTGATTCCTGAGCTATTAACTTGTTTTTGAATGCAATATTAAATCTCTTCTTGTATTCTTTCTTAGCGGTTATACACCGAAGCATGGAATAAGGATAAGACCACGATTCATGTCATGCCTGACACACCAGAAATCCTGCTAGCTAAACAAAACCAAGTCAACTACAGTCAGGTGAGTGAAACTGGAGAGTTGAGTGAATGAAGGGAGTTCTGACAAGTACAATTTTGTCATCCCTGACTTTTAATTAATATTATTATATTGACAAGTGGTTTAGTTTCACAAATTGCCAGCTCCACTGCTACAATCAGAGTTGTTCTTTTGCTGGAATTTGGGCTAATTGGCTTTTTTAAAGAAAGCTAATTGGGCTTTTAATATAATGTAATAATTTAATATATATTATGTGCCATAAATGAGAAATCATTTCTATAGCAAGGTATGGAAGTAAATAACTTAACTTTTAGGCTGTTCCTTTTTTTAATTCCCTGAATGATTTCCAGTTTCCAGGCATCTACAATACAATTAGGAGACCTTTGAAGTCTGCATTTTTTTATTTTCTAGTGAAGATAGAGCTGTGCTCAGATATTTAAGTTGACTGAACATTAAGAGTGTTTTTTTTTAAGGATGTAATTTGTTTTATTACACAGATGTAGTTAACTGAAGTGTAATTTTGTTTCTGAAACAAAGATGTGAATATTTTTCTCACAGAAAATGTACAAACTGGCTTTGGAGGATGCAAAGAAGAAGGGTCATGATTTGCGTTTTGATGCCATTCCTATTCAAGCTGCCAGAGCATCCAGAGAGATTGCCAGCGATGTAAGCAGCCTTTTTATCATTTATGTGTGGATGTGGCAATGGAAAAGAATCAGAATGTTTGTTCCACTGTTTGTTAATGTAATAATTTAAGTTTCTAGACTAGATAATACTGAAATTCAATGACTCTACTGCAGGCTTTTAGTACATGAGTTGTATCGCAGTAATAAATAAATGAAATAATATGAAGATTATTTCTATGCCCCCTGTAATAGTTCCATTGATGCCCATGGATGTTCAAGTAGGATGATCAATAAGGCATCCAAGTCTATGCTGGAGTTGGTCAAATGAATTCCTGATTCAAAATAGGAAATAATTTGAAATCTCTACCCCAAATACATGTATGACTGCATCAGTTCTAGAAGTTCTAAATTGCTGCCTTTTCCTGAGGAAAAAACAGCCCTGTTAAAGTGTCATATTGAAATTCAAGATGTTTGAATACAAAAATGGGGGGAAAAAGCACAATCTATGACAAGGTTTGCTTCTGGCATGAGGAGCATCACTAAGAAATAGAGGATAACAGTTTTTCATGCTCTTTGCTCTCCTGCCAAGACTGATCTTTAAAATGTTAGTATTAAGACTAACTCAGACAATATTCATCAAGGTGTTTTGTAATAAGCTATTAAAATAAGTTAATCGCTACATTTTAATCTTAACATTAAAAGAATGTGGAACATCAAACTTGTTAGTAAGTATGTGATGTTAAATGCTTCATTAATTAAAAGGGTGGTAGAGTTATGTCCAAAATCCGAGATAACGATATCTGTCATAAAACTAATTTTAATGTGAAAATTATGAAAGTGGTAGAAAGGCCTAAATCATGTTCTTCTCTCAACAAAACAGTAATTATTATAGCAAACTCTGTGAATTAATTATTAATTTATAAATATGGGAATATGACTATACTTCATTCCAGTACAAGTACAAAGAAGGCTATCGCAAGCAGCTTGGCCACCACATCGGGGCCAGGAACATAGAGGATGATCCAAAGATGATGTGGTCGATGCATGTGGCCAAGATCCAGAGTGACAGGGAGTACAAGAAAGCCTTTGAGAAGACCAAGACGCACTTCAGTAGCCCAGTGGACATGCTGGGAATCGTGCTGGCCAAGAAGTGTCAAGGGTTGGTCAGTGACGTTGATTACCGCCATTATCTGCACCAGTGGATCTGCCTGCCAGACCAGAACGATGTTATCCATGCTAAGAAGGCCTATGACCTACAGAGTGATGTGAGTAAATCATTACATCTGTAATTCATCGTGAAACATACTGGGTCTTCTGCAATATGTTTTCTTAAAAATATATAATAGGCTTTAGTAGTTTGCACCAGACACGTTGATAGAGGTGAAATGTTTAATATTCCATCATCAAGTTTATGTTTAATGCTACGTTTTCAGTGCTTAGCTTGAGGTGTATATCTATATCTTCAAAACTAACAATTGTTTTCAAAACCGTATGCTGCTCCTATGCAGAAATGCATACAATTTAATGCTTATTTGTAGTCATTTTAATATTTGATCGCATTTACACACACATAACGAACTTTCAAATTCTTTCCAGGCTGTTTACAAATCAGACCTGGAATGGCTGAGAGGTGTTGGATGGGTTCCTATTGGCTCCATGGAAGTTGAGAAAGCTAAGAGAGCTGGAGAAATCCTGAGCGAAAGGAAGTATCGTCAGCCAGCAGACCAAATTAAATTCACTAGCGTGACAGATTCTTTGCCCATGGTCTTAGCCAAGCACAATGCTGAGATAATGAACAAGGTGAGATTTTTGGACTGTGTTTTTTTCAGTTTGTAAAATACTTGCTTTGGACAAATGTATTAGTTGCTATATTTTGTTCTGCTTCAAGATAGCTTTTCTTTTATATCGTGGATATATTTCTGATAACTACTGCTTTCAAATTTGCAGTCTTTTCATCATGACACACATAAGGAAACTTTTTAAAGCAATGTGTTTTCCTCTCTCGTAGCGTTTGTACACGGAAGCCTGGGATGCAGACAAGACGTCAATTCACGTCATGCCTGATACACCGACAATTTTGTTAGCGAAGGCCAATGCAGCTAATGCCAGCCACGTAAGAACATTTAAACGTATACTAAAGTAATGGAAATTCAGAAATTAAGCAAGCATTTCTTTAACCATAAAGATCTTCTAAAATATACGTTCACGAAAATTTTAAGAAACAACTAAGAAATGTAGAAATTGTATCTTTCGGAATATTGAGAAGTCATTTTCTGTCTTCTTTTGTGTAGAAACTTTATATACAAGCCTGGGAAGAGGCCAAAAAGAAGGGTTACGACATGAGAGCTGATGCAATTCCAATCCGAAGTGCAAAGGCATCAAGAGATATCGCGAGTGATGTATGTTCTTCCTTTACGTTTATTTTCAGTTAGCTTGAGAAACAAGAATGAATTAACAAGCTATGTACAACAAAAAAGCCCGTGGTGTGTCAGATTCGTCTTGAAAGCCTACTGACAAAGACTTCACTGCAGAAAGAAAATGGGCAACAGTTCCCGAAAGAAACATTGAATTTAAAATCCTGACATTAGAATTTTTTTTATTAGAATTTTTATTAGAATTATTTATTAGAATTTTATTAGAATTTTTTATTAGAAAAAAAATTAATGACAGTGAAAATAAACAAAAGCTGTGGAGCAAGAATGCATTGGGCATTCGAAACTCTAAATGAGTGCATTTCATAGCATTAAAAAATAGGTTTGTGCTCATTAACACTACGAAATTATGGGAAATTACTGTGTTCAGTTCTGGGCCCCTCACTAGAAGAAGGATGTTGAGATTCTGGAGCATGTTCAGAGCAGAGCCACAAGGATGGGGAGGGCTCTGGAGAACAAGCCTGATGAGGAGCAGCTGAGGGAACTGGGCTTGTTTAGCCTGGAGAAGAGAAGGCTGAGGGGAGACCTCAGCACCACCTACAACTGCCTCAAGGGAAGTTGTGGAGAGGTGGGTGCTGGTCTCTTCTCCCAGGTGATGGGGGATAGAACAAGGGGAAACGGCACCAAGCTGTGCCAAGGGAGGTTCAGGTCAGAGCTAAGGAGGAAGTTCTTTACTGAGAGGGTCGTCAGAAGCTGGCACAGGCTGCCCAGGGAGGTGGTGGAGTCACCATCCCTGGATGTGTTTAAAGAGCGGGTAGATGAGGTACTTAAGGATATGGTTTAGGGGGTAGACAGGAATGGTTGGACGTGATGATCTCAGAGGTCTCTTCCAACCGAGCGATTCTGTGATTCTGTGATTCACTATTTCTTTTAATACTTCATTTTTCGCTTCCAGTACAAGTACAAGGAAACCCACGAGAAGGAGAAAGGCCACTACATTGGGTGCCGATCTGCCAAGGAGGATCCCAAGCTGTCGTGGGCTGCGCGTGCCATGGCGCTGCAGAACGACCGCCTTTACAGGAAGGCGTACCACGACTCCAAGGCCCAGATCCACATTCCAGTGGACGCCATGTCGGTGCAGCCAGCCAAGGAGTGCCAGACGCTGGTCAGTGATGTTGACTACCGGCAGTACCTTCACCAGTGGACCTGTCTGCCTGACCAGAACGACGTGATCCATGCCAGGAAGGCCTACGACCTGCAGAGCGATGTGAGTGAGAATAACTGTGTAAACGCTTTACGGCAATGTCTGAGGCTCTGTTTGTTAGCGATGGGGCAAATATCCCTTCACATGCACAATCATGAGCCTGCAGTCAGTTCTGGCATGTTTATTTTAATTCATCTGAATTATATTTTCCAAACCAGTAATGTTTTCAGCTTGGGGAGAAGCATCCTGGGCAGTTTTTAAGGAAGAGATGTTCTTTTGGTCCACTGTAGAATATTTGCTCGCAGTTTGCTTGCAGTTTTCTTGTGGATTATGCCACTTGTTTGTGTGTAGCAAGTACCTTTAAAAGTATCTTTGTTGCTGTGCAAAAGAGGTTTAGCTCTGTGTGTGAAGGAACTGGTAGACCACAGTCTCCGTGACTGCTTGCTGTGCAATTGCAACAGAAGGAACTTGGGAAAGCCTTGTACAAAACCTTTCTTCATGTAAAGTTGTCTCTCTGTGTCAATAATGTCAGTAACCTTTGGTTTATTTGCAGAACGTGTACAAGTCAGACCTGGAATGGTTGCGAGGCATCGGCTGGGTGACAGAAGGTTCTGTGGATGCAGTCAAAGCAAAGAAAGCCCAGGAGCTCCTGAATGAGCGGTTGTACCGCACACGGCCGGATGAGATGAAATTCACCAGTGTTACTGACGCACCAGACGTTGTCCAGGCTAAGATCAATGCCTTGCAGATCAGTGACGTAAGCTTGCCTTTCACTTATGTGATCACATTTCCTTTCTTTGTGGTAGAGACTAGAATTTCTTCCATGGGAATGAATAGTTGGGAAGTATTTCA